TCTGCATCCATCAGATTTCTACTTTATAATTGCTTGCAGGCAAAACTAGTAGGTTTTAAACAATGAATCTGTGCCACTTGGATGTTAAATAGAAGGGAATGGTGGTTTTGCCTTAAAATAGATTTAAAATTGTTTGTTTTTCTTCTTACAGTGCCCAAAGGCTCAAATTCCGACTAAATCTCTATGAACTGAAGGAAGGGAGGCAAATTAAACCACATACCCTGATGAGCATGGTGTCTAATCTCCTATATGAAAGACGGTAAAGAATCAAGCATTCATGATGCCTGGGTATAGTTAGTGTCCTTAAAAAAATCAACTTCATCTAATAGGTTTAAGGAGATAAGGTAGTGATTCTTGGACTGAGGATCAGGGACTCCTGGGAAGGTATCAGGAGCAACTTAGTGGATGGGCATTATTATTTTTAAACCTGATCAGGCTCTCACAGGCAAAGTGTCAAAATGCACTCTAGGTTTTGCTCCTCACTTTGCCTGCACAAACCATAGTAGGTGGTTGCAGTATTGCAAAGTTTAAGAACCTTTGTGATACATTGATTAAAATGTAAATATTAAAAGAAGGTGTATTTCTTGCCCAGCACTAACTTTAACAAAATCATTGGCTTTGATCATGGGTGTGTAGAGCCACACATATTCATTGATCGTTTTACGAGACTTTTTATGTTTTCCACCCCAGGATGTATCTCCTGAATAATTGCTTTGCTACAACACAACACATCAGGATTATTGCTACATTAGTATTGCTACATTAGTTTGCTCCTTCAGATATAGCTGAATTCTGGTTCCTATCAGCGTTAGTCAACATGGCTAAGATTGAGGGAGGATGGGAGTTGCAATCCAACAGCCAAATCGTCTATTTCTCTGCTCTAGATGATATAATCTTCAGAACCAATGGGAAATTTTTTCCATCTTCTTAGTATTGGAGATTAGACAAATTGTGGGCATACCCTAAACCTACCTATATAGTAATCCCAAGGAAAATTTGATTGGTTGTATGTTCTGACACTGACCATCCAGCCATCCACTTTTCAAAATTGGTTTATAATTTTAAAAATTTAGTTCATTGTAATGATATGCATTTTATTATTTGGGAAAAATGAATTTGATTGATACCTATCTTTTCTTGCTGCTTCCAGGTTTGGACCTTATTATACAGAACCAGTGATAGCTGGCTTGGACCCAGTCACTTATGAACCCTTTATCTGCTCCTTAGACTTGATTGGTTGTCCGATGATAACGGATGACTTTGTGGTCAGTGGGACCTGTACAGAGCAGATGTATGGCATGTGTGAGTCCCTCTGGGAGCCAGACATGGTAAGAAAAATACAGAGCTAGTCATAAGAACTGTGGTAGGGTAACTAATGGAGAACTCTCTCAATAGAAGCCAGCCTCTGGGCTTCAAAAAGCAGGTGTGAATCGGGCTTTAAAAAACTGTCTTCAGCACAAAAATTCTATTTCAGTTTGAAATAGCTTTTTTATGTGCTACTTTGCTTAGAATTCTGCTTTATACCTACATGCTGAATGCATGAATATGTCGATATGGCCCAGGGAGAATTTGTATGTGAAGCTTCACAACCTTATTCGTGCATTCTCTGTGAATACCTGAATAGAGATAGAATACAGTGGTACCTCGGGTTACGAATGCCTCTGTTACCGACCTTTTCGGGTTACGCCCCGCTCCAGCCGCAAAAATTTACCTCGGTTTGCGAACTCCGCCTCGGGGTACGAACAAGATATGCGGCCATTTCCCCCCCCGTGACACGGTCCGCGGCCATTTTTCCGCCCCGACACGTGGTCCGCGGCCATTTTTCCGCCCC